AAAAAAACAGAAAGAGAGATAAAAAAAAAATATATATATATATATATATATATATATATATATATATATATATATATATACATACCGGTATTATAATAATGAATTAATAAATATCATATTAACATGACATAAATATAAACATATAACGAGTCATACTCACATCTATGTAGTTGGCGTTTATGTAGTCAGAGTGGGGGTCTCCCTCCAGCAGTTGCAGCCGGACACGAGTGTGATCGTCTGTGGGGTCAAATATTCACAGAAGAGCCGGTCTAAAGTTACACATACACTTTAAAGGTGAGCTACACATGCATGAGCTGCCCAGGAAACACAACTGTACTGTACTGCACAATGTCATTTACCCAAGCAGGAGTAATGTGTGTGAAACAATCACTTTCATACAGAAAAAAAACGGTCAAACTCTACATGCATTTCTACTAATTTGCAGATTTATTTATTTATTTTTTTCACCAGGGTCAAGTACTTCAGGCATATTTGAGTTCACAAACGAAAACCAGCATCTAATGAGTATGAGAACTATGCCAGCAATCTCCTTTAATAAAAGACAACACATTTAGTGTGATTTACCAATGGTACTGATGAATTATGTGCTTTTCGAAAAGACCTGCAACCTTAGCGTAACTTCCTGCATAAGGAAGCAAATCCTGCAATTTTCAAAAAAGTTCCTGTTTCTAAGCAACTCAAGTCTTGGGTGCCCCAAGTTCAGCATTGCACTCTGGGGAATTGACAATAAGAATCAGACCATTTTCCCATCCAATGAAGTGGATGTACAGTTGACCAGTGATGCAATTGATGCAATTACTCCAGCACCGCCAATCTTCATCATGTCTTTGCTATAAACACTTGACCTGCTAATGTTTAGCTCAGGCACTGCGTCTTTCCATCCTTGAAAGGTGAAGCTGCATGTCTTGGTAATTATGACAACACTTCTGGAAAAGGGGAAGAGGGTGGAAACGGAAAGAGAGGAGGGGTAAAGGAAAGGTCTGACACTAGCTCCGCAAACCCATATGGCGTTCTGCTTTGATCACATGGAGAATGCAATTGAGGCATGTCGACTCCAAGCCAGCGGATGTTCTCTGATGGCAGGCAGCTCCGCGGAATCCCTCCTGATTTCTCTCAGTCATTCCGTTTTTTTTAGTTTCCGAGAAGAAGCAGGTCCTGGAGCTGTAAGCAGGTCGTGAAGGTTGTTTACTCTCAGACAGCCCCTCCTTCCTGTCCAAACCTGCTGCGTTTCTTATTCTGTCTGCTCAAAATTCGCCAACTTATATTTTTTTAACTTCAGACTTTTTATTTGCTCCTTCTCTCTCGCTCGCCTCACAAACATCTCAGCTGTCTCTCGCCGGCGCTTTGGTCTGTCGGCTGACCTCTCTGCTCCCCGAAAAGGAACGTGCGCGAGGGAAGCAGAAAATAGGGAAATGGAGGGATGTGGAAAGAGAGCGAGAGAAAGAGACGGGGCTAATTAGATACCACTGAGTCAGTTGTCATAACAGCAAGCGCTCGGCAGGGTTCTTCTCCGCAGTGAGGGGCCAGACACAAAGCTCTAATTGGGAGAGAATGACCAGACTGCAGACGAGCGCCGTGATGCATGGGTACAGTAGTTCTGAGTCAGCCTGCAAAAATATCCCGATGTCTGGGTGATCACCTGTTTAGACACGTATGAGAGGCATTACAGTGACATGATGATGAGTAGGGATCTTAATTCTGCACTAATTTTGCACCACAGGCATGACTCAGTGATTCCTCACGTCATGCAGTTAAATGAGGATAGGTGTGCTATTACTTTTCTAAATATTGAGAGTTACTTTTCTATGCTTAGAAAAGTAATAAAATTACAATGGCCACCTGAAATTGATTGGATGGCATAAAGAAATGTAATTATATAGAAGAAGCATCTGCAAACAAATTATGCACTTTTTTGCAAAAAAGCTATTTCTGTCAGGACCACTATCGTCAGAGATGATTGACAATTAGCATACAGTTTGGATTGGCGGTATGGTTCTGTTCTGGGCAAGAACTCCCTGCACATCCATGCAGCCTAGTATAGATGAGAGCAGGGAGAGCAGCGATAACCCCCCCAGGGTAAACAGAACAGAACCAACATAAATGTATTGCAAATATGGTCGAAGTTCAATAATTTTATGTACACATTTTAGAATTAGTCTGATTCAATGGATAATCAGAAGGCTGAATCCTGACTGACAGAGGAGGAGCTGGGGATGGAGGAGGTTAATTAGCTATTGAGCAATGCGAAAACTGCTGATAATACTGAGGGATCTTATATATGAATGCTTAGATAGGTGTCGTATTCCCATAGGTAGATGGGGATCAGATGAGATTCAGCTGATGCAAGCTTGACTAACGTGACCTGCCAGAACTAACGCTATGCTAGATTTTTGCAATGACTTTCAAGGTCACCAAGATACGTTAGTGCCATGACATTCATTCATTTTTAAGTTCATCACAGTTTCCAAATACTTTCTAAGGCCATTGCATCTGTTATCGGCCTAATCATGCTGATGCAATCACTGAACAACAACAACAACAAAGCACAACAAGCGGTGTTAGGCTAAAATCTCAAGACAATGGATTTCAGGTGTAGTGGTAACATTAAAAATCTCTTATTTTGCACCTCATCCTAAAGTAAATGAATCACAAAGAGAACAACTCGGTTCTTTTGTGTGCTTAAAAGTACAGCACCCTAAAAATGTCAGCAGTCTTGTAATCAGCGCACTTAAGCCCGTGTCCTCGCCACTGCTCTTATATATAACCTCAGTGTGTTGTCAGCTGGCCCCAGTGCATTATACACCTAAACTGCCTATTAAATCCCTGCTCGGCAGAAAAGAGGTTCCTGTGTCAAATGGGCCGAGTGCTGTCGCACACACCTCGTGGCGTGAGAGCGAAACACTCTAATCCAGTTTAATCCATTTCCATCCGCTCTGGGATAAGACGCTTTGCTCATGAAGTCTACCTGAGAGGTTTTAGAAAGCAGCAGAAGTGTTTATGCGAACGCTTGAGCTTTGAGAGCTTGGTGTTAGGACAAGTGTCATCCTAATCTGAAAGGGACTCATTTCGGAAGGTTAATTTGCACCAACGGCAATAAAAAGGATCTTTTTTAGCCACATACGCAAGGATTCTTATTAAAGAAATTAATTTATTTCGCACCATTTTGTAAGGAAGTGATCCTATTAGTTTATATAACTAGCTAAAGGATAGAAACATCACTCTTTAGCATCTCAATTTGTTTCTTATAGACAGTAATGATATTAAATGGAGACTTTTGCTGGCCTTTTCTACTTCTTGAATGTTTACTTCCTTAGAAATCTCACAAAAGCTGTTCTTTAGCAATCAAAAGTGGAATTTCGATATCAATTCAAACATTTCTTATCATCAAAATTAAAAAGTCAATGCTTCAATAAAGCACAACAGAGTTCTCTGAGCTATGAAACAGCAACCTCTAAATATTGATGATGTCTAAATCCACTAATCTTTTTAATGTAAATGAAGTATGAATCTGATTAGGTGTTTATTCTTGGTTAAGAGCATTAATCGATGACGATAGATAAACAAACAAACAGAAGCGAGAGTATAATACACTACACAGCTCATGTGAATGCTAATACTCCAGCTTTGGTCAACACATCAGAGGAGGGGTTTTTTTCCGCAAAGACATCAAGGGAACCTGACGATTCTGGCAGCGCTACGTGAAGGGAATAAATGTCAGAATTTGAGGAGCTCAGAGAGAAGAAATGAGAAGGCGTCTTCATCCAGACACACAGATCCACGCATGCAGAGCACTTAAAAGAGCAAGACACACTCTCTTGTGTTTGGACTAATGAAGATGAACAACCTGGACATTTATTATTCAGCAGGTGCCTTACCTTGCATATTTTAACCCCAGATCCACAAAGGCATCGATACTAACTGGTTAAAATGAGTGACGTTTGGATAATGAGCCGATGTGTGCTGGTTATCCTTTGGGGGTTTCATCCCTCTTCATGGGATGATTGCATGATGTTGGTGTTCGCTACATGAATTGCATCATGCGAGAGCTTTACTCGGTAACAGAACCAAATTCAGTTCATACAACATAAAGGAAAATTTCCTCTGCACTACAAGTAGAGTTAATAAACAAAGTGACAACAAAAAAGAACACAAAATTAGATATTTTGAAGAACTTTGGGGTCCGTAACAACATTGGGCCCTATTCACTGTGACACTAACACATTTTTCATATCTTTTTTGAAAGTCACACAGGGTTAGAATGACATGAAAGTGAGTAAATGATGACAGACCTTTTATTTTTGGGCGAACTATGCCTTTAACTATCCCACCTCATATTGGCAAATATTGAAGGCAACACTGCATGTATCCTTTGTGGATTAGGCAATCCCAGAATGCACCGTGACAAACTTTTGTGGAGTACTTATATTATAAGTATTAATAGGAAAACTACACTTTTTTTTTTGCTCATGAGAATAATGAAGATATATACTAATAAAATATTAATATATAAAAATAAAAGCTAATTGAAAACATTGATAGTAGTAATAATAATAATATTATTAAATAATAATGATAATGATGGTTGGAACAGAATTGTGATGCCAGTGACGCCTTAATTAAGTTTTGTTTTTTATTTTCTTCTTCTAAAAATCTGAGATTCAGCTTTTCAGAGAATATTCATAACTTTTTTACTTCATACTTCAATTTCAGGCAAGTACAGAGCTGCAATCTTGCTTGCTTTAACAAAGTCCTCTTAACATTCCATTACCAACCTTCCGCTGTTTCTCTTTCTGTTGTGTTCTCTGTGATGTCATTGTCCTCTGCTTTAGGATCAGACCCTAAGGTATGCTGTGACTCATCCGTTCCTATTCAAACCTGCTGCCAAAGCATTTCCTGCAATCTCAGTCCAAACAGACTACGCAAAGGGGCTCAACGGCATGCATCTGTCAAACGGCCTGCGCCAAATCATAGTAGGCTCACTGTCTGCACATACCTCCCTCCCAACCATAATTGACGAAATATACTAATGAGGAATCATTTGGAAAAGATACAAAAATCTCAGCATACACAGAAAAGCAGGCGAGCAGGAGTAAATACAGCCATCTTCCCAATCTCCCCCTTTTCTTGTTCTCTGATATGTAAATGTTTGCCAATAACAGTTTATTTTGGGTGTAGAGTCTCGTGAATTATAGATGACCATATGGGCTTGAATGGCTGACACTGCCTGCT